TCTTTGCTCAGCCATGCCGCTAGATGTCGGAGATCAAGCACTGCTCGATATTATTGGCGATCATGCCACATCTAGAGGCAGGACGAGAAAGACGCGAAATGCAGTGCAGTTTTACAATTGTGAAGATTAAGCCTTCACAGGCGTCACGTAAGTGAAAGATCTCAAGTAGTATGAAGGAAAAAATGCTTGGCACTATAACTGCAATAATGGTAAGAGCGAAATATTGCCCTAGTAATAGTCCATATTACCCGGTTAAAAATTATTTATTTTGCGAGAATGAATATGGTTTGTGAAGACCTACATAAACATATAAGACTTATGCGAATTAAGCGAATCAATTTTGTTTCATGCTATAAAATAAAATATTAAACCACAAAAGAGCTGATCACGCGAAAGAAAATTGAAACATAAGCATTAATAAAAGAGCCACTGATTACACAATTAGTACGAGCAAAAGCATAAAATGTAACAATAGGACCACGGTCTGTATGTGTTTGTTCAGTAATCGCTAATAATGCAAAAATTTTCCATGTTTGAGTGAGCAAAAAGTCTTAGTGAAATGGTAACGCCGAAATGTCCTTGAGATTGGCATTGACTTCTCAGCGGGCGCATGTTTTTCAAAGTTTCCGTTTGTAGACATCACTTGAAACTGTTCTTGCCTGTCGGACACGCCTGGTTAAAAAGTATAGCAAACCTGAGCAATTGGCCGGAAGGTTTATTCCAAAGCGAGATTGTGAGAGAAAACAAATCCCCAATTTTACCAAGAACAAGTGACGCGCGTAATAAAAAAAGTTCAAAGTAATTTTTCCAATGTTTCTTTGCTCTCTAATTGTTATTTCGTTGAATTAACGCTAGCCAATGGGTTAGAACATACAAGATTATTCGGATGCTTAACAACAGATATTGTTCTCTCAACATTGTAGTAAAGCTTATATATTAACCTGACAGAAATGCGTAATCATGACTCCTACTGTCTAATTATTATCCTTCTCAGTCACAATATGTATTTTGGTTTTTTCCGTTCTTCTATTTTACTTTTGTTTTTTATTAGTAAACCTGCATGAACAATTTTAACTTTTAATAGTTTGGAAGTTGATAAATTTTACAACTTCATGTTCTACATAATTGCAAAGGTCGCACTAATTACTTTCTGTGGGTGCCGATGTTATCAATTCATGAGAAACCATGTGTTTCAAGTAATTTAGAATATCATGGTTTATGAGTATTGAGTTAGATGCAGATTATTACAGTAAAGTAGCTATATTGCAAACGTAAATACTGGATTAAAATTGAAGTGTAGCGGTGCAGAACAGTATAAGTTCTAGAGCTGTATTTTCATTGAGACCTTCAAGTAATAAACCTTAAACAATGGTTGGAGATAAACATCTTCCAAAAGAAATTTGCAGAACATAGCTTTAGGGTAATTGTTGCTACCGTAATATTACACTAACAATGAAAAAGAGGATTTAAATGTTTTAGAAAATAAGTACATAGAACCATTCAAGAGTGCATTAACTACTCCCCTGACTCACTATTGATTACTACTCCCGTACGAGAAAATGGTGATTGAGAATTAAGACGTTTTTAGAACTCGGATTAGATGACTATATTATTATTGCCCTGAAAGGCTGCCAAAGAACACCGTTCATCGTGGCATTATGAATAATTGGAGGGTTCTGATAATAAGAATTATGATCCTTATTCGAAAATAGAAAAAAGAAGAGGATGGCAAAATATGATATAATAAATCAGATAGTGAGAAGAATATGTTCCTAGATTTAGGTCAATACACATAAATTTATGTCCATATATAAAAAATTCCAAGTTGGAAAATGTCCGAGAAAGTCCATTAATTAAATTGTCAAGCTATAGAACTTGGAAAAATAAAAGCCTTTGATCAGTTATTTTATTTTTAATTTTCTGCTTCTCGATTGACTTACGACTGTTGTGTTTTATTATATATAACCAGTATTCCATTTTGCCTCAGTAGATAAATTGGTAATACAGCATTTGGACTTTATATTTTTATTCTTCTTAAGGGTCTTACCGAATTAAGTGGATTGGCATTGAAGGATTAGTGAAGATCGAATCATTTTCCACACAGTTGTGAGGAGTCAATTCGGTGTGTAATATGAGGACTTTTCTCGCTTGGAGCAAACACACTTATCCAGGATACCTTATTTGACATAAATTAAATTCTTTTTATCAAGTTGATTGTATTTTACGCAGCTATTCACAAAACAGAGGAAATGTGTTCGAATGAAGAATTTTGGCAGGTATGCACCCGTGAGGAATTTTACAACATAACTGTGTGTCAGATATCGCATGGAAAATACAGTAGACAAGAAATGTGAGTGAGAAATAACTATTTTTTAAAGTAAATGTAATGCAACATAGGCCAATAATGTATATACGCGCGACGTTTTCGTAAGTCAGGAGAATCCCTACCCCACTCCATTGCCAAAAGTTAGTATAATTAAATAAATGATGAACGCGGATTAGAGACAAATCTGATAACCAGAGTGTTCCGTCCCGTGTAATAGAAATATTTGCATGAAAAAGACAAACAAATTTTGATGAAATTCTTGACGTCAAATAACCAACTGCCACATCCCTGCACTAAGCGAAGAGAGGATAAGAAAATTGTGCAAAAAAGCGGCAACGTGTCTACTGCAATTTATGCTCTCTGCCTGGCGGTAATTGCAGCCGTTCAGGTTTCATCCACGATCGGTGATCTTGAACCACCGTAGCGCATGACACGAGAGTTAATCACGCAGAAGTGTATTCGCAAGGTGAGCCAATGGCCGGCTCGACAAGCACTCAGAATTGCCCGCGACACGAGTGACTCGACTAATGTCTAAAGTATTGCTGGAGTAATTGAAGTATCATGAAATCTGGGCTTAATAACTTGTAATAGGTAGAGGGGTGGAGATCTGTCCGACAGCACTGTGCATCGTCCGGATAGTTCAGATATATGATTCATTTGAGGTTTGGTTGGCTAGGTTTAAATTAGAAGTGTTTCTGGAGCCACATCTGTAGCAATTTCTGGACGGAACTGTGTCGCAAATTTGGTAATAAACTCATATGAGGGCTCCTATGTAAAAAAATGACTAATTCCAAATATATATTACTATATAGTATATAATATAATATATATATATATATATTAATATATATAGGAGAGATAAGGAAGAAGAGAGAACTTCTAATACGTATGTTTAGTCAGAAATCCATGATTTTGGGGGTCTGGTATACCAGAAAAAATCGATGAGCGCAAAAACGTCCGCTTGTCTGGTGCAATAACTAGCGGCATAAACTGTCGGCCGGGATATTTTATAAAATTAATATTCCCGCATTCTCTATGGTTGATGA